GAGGGAAGCCATGGCTAGTCCTTCACCTCATCTTTACAGTGTCTGTTAGGTTTGCGTTTCCCTCTTGCTACTAGCTGCTCACTAATTCCTGCTATCAGCTGTTTCCTGTTTCTGTTTATCCACCGCCATTGGGTCACACGTGCGGCGTCATCAACAGCTCCTCCCACAAGTCATCAACAGCCCCTCCTGTGGCAGAAGGGCGCCTTGTTCTTTTTAAACCAAAGAGGTTCCGCCAATATGACTACCCTACGAGGCGGAAAATTGGGCACCTCGGATCAACTCACCAATCCGGCTCTGTGTGTCTAAACGCTTGCAGCGTGCTGGCAAATCAGCCCAACATTCGCAGAAAATCTGGCAGTGTAAAAAGGGCTACTGGCTGTCCATTCAGATTGGACCCACAACCCACTTTTTGAACTGCGACCCACCAGTTTGGAACCACGGATTTAAAGATTGAATCTTATCATAAAATTGACACTGCGTACTCGTGTCAGGGTCAGGTCTGTCCTGGCAGCTGAGTCATTTCTCTTTCATCTGGGGCCCAAAACCTTGCCACGCCGTCTTCGCCAAAATGTCTTTCACATTATCAAATCCTTCAGAGACACAACACGACTACATAGAAACATAAAAATGCTGGAAAAAAAAGACACAAATTACTTTAAAGAGACACACAATGACCAAAATAAGACATAAAACAACAGCTAGATATGTAATGACTTCAAAGAGATGAGAAAAACAACAACAAAAAGTGGCTTAACAACTATAAAGTCTGTGTGTCTTCTCCTCCTATGTAAGTGAGGTGGTGTGGCTTTTTGCATATCTGTACCCAGGGGTGACTTGTCTCATAGTGCACCCATGATCATCAGGTTCGGTCTAGTTAAACTCCGAGTTGCATAAAAGTAGATTTTTGGGAGCCATGTTTGACTCTGAGCTCAGTGTGACTCCGGCCAACGCTGGCTCATATAGTGACCGCAGCTTGAAACCCTCCTCGCCAAAATGGACCAGGTGTTCAACCGCTAGTCCTAATATTTAAACTTTTATTACAACTCCACAAAATTGAGATTAACTGCAGCTGTGTCCCCAGCTGTATATGTAATCAGATTTGCTGTTTGTGATGAAGTGTTGGATCCAAAACACAAAGAGCGTAAGGGACGGGAGGGGTGCTGGTGGTGGTGGTGGTGGTGGTGACGGTGAGTGTGTCCTCCTCTTCAGCATCAGATGCAGCAGCCAGGTGATACACACTGTGTACAAAACCCCTGCTGCGACACCACAGTGGAGGCACATGTTTATTGATGTGTCTGGCTGCCCCTGAGTGCACAATATGGCTGAGAGAAACAAACACCAACGTACAGAAAGCTCTCAGAGCAGAGAACAGATGAACAAACAAGCAGACGGATTACCGACTGTTGGGTTTATCTCTCAGAGATGTTTTCATATACACCAGCTACAAACATACATACATAACACAAGGGTTTTTTGTATTATTGTTGATATTTGTGTTTTATTTATTGCATTATATATACAAGTGATATAATAGCAATAATGATATAAGCAATAGTACTGATGGGTAAAATCCAATAATTGGTATTGGGTAAAGTATTGCACTGATGCTAAATTGACCCACGCTCATTTAGTATAGAGAAAAGAAAACAGTGCTATGAGTTGTCAGTCATGAATATAACATTTTGAATCCATCACAAAAGCAGCAAGACTTTTTGTTCTGGACCTTGAGTGTATTGAATTGCATGCTCTGACATCGAATGATGCTATAAAACAAAAGTTAAAGAACAAATCTAAAACAGTCTGTTTATCTCCAGTGCATCAGCAGGTAACCATAGTAACTCACTGTGTGCGCAGTGCAGGGAAAAGATGATTTCATGACTGAATAAGAAATGTGATCAACGTTTTATTTTTCTTATTTTAAATAAGAAAGGAAATAATTTGTATGACATATTTCCTTGTATTCTCAACCCAATCACCAACAGTTACGTTGGCCCTGAACATTTCTGAAAACCACTGCTATGTTACATTTGTTATATTCTAGCAGATATGTTAAAACGTTGTGTTTCTCAGCAACTCAATGATGAAGGTGTGGTTAGGTTTAGGCTCATAAAACACTTGGTTATGGTTAGAAAAAGATCATGTTTTGGCTTATGACACCCATGTTTGGTGGCACAAAAGCTGCTGGAAATGCAGGGATGGGTTGGTGAAAAACACCCAGGTTTGGTGGCTCAAATGCAGCTTGGAAATACTGTGACGTGCCACAAACACTGGTGGAAACACCATGAAGGGTTGCCTCAAGACAACTGCTGGTTTTGAACCATGGTCTGCACATACATCACTTAGAAATGTTGATATGAGACATATGTAACATGCAAATGTAACATATTTGGGCTGATATTCTCGCAATACTGCTGTTTTATCACTGAATGGAGGGATATACATGCTTGCAGTGTGTTATACAGAGTATAGATTAGTACGACAAATCTTGATGGTAAAGTGAGCTCATCACCGCTGCTGACGTGCTCTTGAGCAAGGCAGTTAAGGTCCCGCTGGTCCGGTGGGGCTGCTTCCTCATGCTGTGCTCAGTGACTGTGGCAATCTGGTGCTTACATAAAGGTTTTAAAGTTAATCTTTCCTGCGTGTGATTAACGTCTGATCTTTCAACATGGTCACAACAGTGAAAGTCACTGATGTGACCTTTGTCACTTGAAATCCCGTCATGTTTCTCAGCTTATCGTGGCCTAGGTGTATCAAAGTCTAATTACATTCTAAAAGAATTATAGAAATACAAAAACAAGTTAAGCTTTGCTTTCAGCATGAGAATACTTTCTTTCCTCATGGCTCACATCCGGGGCTGTAAAGCACCCACTGCGGACACTGAGCTCAAGTCCTCTGCAGAACATTGGGAATTTCAGCAACCTGGAGGTGTTTTGCGGATAAGAAAGTACCCATAGTGAGCATTTAATTGGGTGATGCCAATATCTTTTTTGTTACATATTCAAATTTGACTCAAGGTAACAAAATAAATACGCAGATAAAGGATTCACTGCTTAATCACCAGACTTCTGAGACATTTAGCCTAGGGCTGTCAAAGTTAACATGTTCAAGTCAACGAAAATTCCTTTTAATGCCACTCACTTTTATATTTACGATTAATGCACCTACGTTCTGTAATTATGACCTGTAGTTTAGGAAATCAGGAAGCAATGCAGCAGTAACGTTGTGGAGAGCACGGTCTCACTCTGAAGTCGTCGAAATCTAGCGCTTGGGCAGTGACTTGTCAGAAACCAACGGAAAAAGGTGTCCATTATAGTTTAATGGCACCCGGTGGCATCAGGAGGAAACGCAGGGGGACAAGGATTAAAGATAAGCCAGCGAAAGTCCAAATGAGGCAGGCGGAAGGGGTGGTGGATGGGTCCAACAAACACCAACTTTCACCCGAGAGAGCGGTGTTCACGTCCCGTAAGATTCTAAAGCCAGACTGTTCTTTTTTCCGAAACCTAACTACGTGCTTTTGTTGCCTAAACCTAACCATGTGTTGTTGAAGGGAAAAAATGTCAATTCGTGGTGGTACGTTTATTTTAAAAGAGACTGTATGTAAATGTTAAATTTCCTGTGAAAATGTAAGTGTATTTTGAAAGATGACAATGCATGTAACAGGCAGAACTTGACACACTGTTCCAGAACATCAACAACCAACACACCCAGGGTACCTTGTACGTCCTATGTGGATGTGGAAGGTCCATGACACAAACGTCAATATGTGACGAGGTCGGAGTGAGAATGTGTTGTCGTAGGTGGCAAGAAGAAACAAACCTCAGTGAGCAGAAATGGATAAAGAATGACAAGTTCAGCCTCAGAGCTCTGCTGATGGTTCTCTCGACAAGACCAAAGTTATTTGCGTTTACTGCTGAATTGAACTGAGTTACCACCAGAGCACAAGCTGCTTATAAAACAGGGGATGTTTAGTTAACCTTTACATGTGTAAAGTTGGACACTACATGGTGTGAGCAATGTTACATTCAGGTCATTATGTCCATCTGTTGTTGCTTATTGGCCTTGAGTTTGCCATGATATGCGCAGAACCTTTGAGATTATTCTGGAGAAAATTCTGGACAGTCTTTGTCATTTTTTTGGATTGTTGTAATAAAAATTAACATACATTTGCATAAAGCAAGAAATGTGTCCACTCCCATGTTGATAAGAATATTAAAAACTACTGGCTTGCAGGAAGTTCACTGTATTCCAACATAAAGTGTGCTTTTTACAAACTTAACACGTTCACTTTGTGTACCCACCAATTGGGAACCACTGATTTAAAGATTGTATCTCATCATAAATTTGACACTGAGTGCAGTCCTGTCAGGGTCCTGCACAGGACTCACCCAAATTAACATGTGCTAAACAGGAAGAGACTCACAAGGACCACAGAGTCACAAATAGACCCCAAAGAGATGCAAAGGAACTGCAAAATGAAGCAAAACAACCACAAAGAAACATAAAAATTACCAAAATAAGACACAATACCACAGCTAGATAATGACTTCAGCAAGACAAGACAAAAAAAAAAAGAAGTAGCAACATAAGTACATTTACATAAAACAAGAAATGTGTCCACTCCACGATAAGAGTATTAAAACGATAGTGATTTGAAATCATTGATACTGAGAAATATCCCTTTGAGGTACATTTACAACAGATAAAAAATATGTGATCAATTTGCGATTAATCATGAGTTAACTGTGCCATTAATCGCGATTAAATAATTTAATCGATTTACAGCCCTAATTTAGACCTTTACAAAGATAGAATTAATTTACAGCAAATAAATCAAATCAGTTAAATACAGAAATATGACAAATTCAAATGAACATTATCACAAACGTGACCAGGATGGTGCCACAGATAGTGCACCACGTATCTTTATTATCCAAAGTATTTTCTCAACAGATCCACAACCGTTTTGAAGTCATTTCATTGAGAAAGTTGTATTGAGCATGTGTGTGTGAGGACTGCTGATTGGAAGATGTGTGTTGAACTTGGCGCTTCTGTCCCTGCGCACTGGAGGCTCTCCCCTCACCGCTCCTCTGTGTTTTCGAGCTGAGCGCTCACACCTGAAGTGACAGGGAGGGAGTGAGGCTCGGAGAGGCTCCGAGCTGTGATGACGGCAGCCCACGGAGCTGCCCAGCCTGCTTCTACTGTAAAGCGACTGCAGGGCACATTTGGAGAACTAGTCAGCAGGGAAATATCCAAAGGGAGGGGGACGCGCGCATGTGACAGGCTTTGGACGTTTCCATTTATACCCGTCGGGCAGGGAATTGAATCTCTCCATCGGGAGGTGCGTTATTATTAAAATCACTGGCGACTGGTATTTTTTCAAACATTGCACGCCTGCGTCCGTCGCCTGCGGATCGTCACAGCACCATGCGAGCAGGAGAGACGCGCCCTGTGCCATGCTGAACGACTCTCCGACTCTCCTGCTGGCTCTCACAGCGGTGGCCGGACTTCTCCAGCGATGCCAAGGCTGGAGCGACGAAGACCTCCTCCTGCCGCCCATCAACTCCTCCAACAGGTTCCTGGCCAACCTGGAGGTGGACGTGCGCTTCTCCAAGAGGTCCGTGGAGGAGAGCGAAGCCTCGCCCGACGCCTCCTCCCTGCAGACTCTGTCCCAGTGCAACGTGAGCGTCCAGAGACTCCAGCCCACCTCGCTGGTGGCCCGCTGGGACAGCAGCTTCGGCTTCCAGTGTGATGTGCTCATCTACACCACCAACAACCACGGAAGGGCTTTTTTCTCCGCGTCTTTCAACAGGGCGATCTCGCCTGTCGTCATCGAGCATCTCGGGGTCACCGGGGGTCAGCAGGAGTTGAGGCTGTGCGTGGGCTGCGGGATGTCCCGGTACCGGAGGTTTGGGCAGGGCAGGTCGAGGGGCCAGCAGACCGGGGATCAGATCACTTTCTGCTGCGTGGATTTCAGCCTCGACGAGCTGAAGGGGGACAAAAGTTGGAGGCTGAACAGAAAGCCCATCGAGTCGACACTTGTGGCTTGTTTCATGACTTTGGTCATCATTGTGTGGAGTGTTGCTGCTCTCATATGGCCAGTCCCGATCATTGCAGGATTTCTGCCTAATGGGATGGAGCAGAGGAGACCGAGATAATTAAAATAATCTTTATTATAATTAGCCTGTGCTGCCTATACTATAACTGTAGCCATTCAACTGTTCACCTGAATGAATGATTCAGCCGAATGCTGAGCTTTGGAGAACTTTTTGATGAGATGCTTTAGTTTTGGGGGTCTTCTTTAACAGTTATTAAAGCTCCTGCTCATTAGGACAACCAAGGTAAAGTATGATGGATTATACTAGCCAATAGTAATCTATACTGGGACCAATGTGTTTTGTATACCCTTGTAGGCCTTCCTATAGATTATGTCAGCGTAAACTGTGCGAACTTTTCTCTTTAAACAGTGTTTGTATAGTTTTTAATCTTTCTAGAAAGTTTTTGCCTTATCCCATGTGTAGGACTTTTGCACTGAAAACTGAACTTTGAGGTGTGCCGTCACATATATATAACCTATAGTCATGTTCAAAGTAAGCGTAATAGTTTTTTTCCAATGCGTTCTGAGAAATAGATGTTGTTTATGATTGACATAGAGAGGGTTTCAATAATTATATTGTTAGATTTATAATGTCAAGTTCAATATGCGTGCTTATTTGTATTCATGTTCCAACGGTTTCAATGAAAATAAAATTGATTATAGGCTATATCTCAGATTCTCTCTGACCTGCTCTCTGTAGCCTAAATCAGTTTACTTCAGGCTTATGTCAAGTGGACACAGCATGTGATCAGAAGATGAAAGCCAACACTGTCAAAGCCTGTGGAAAATATGCACTCAGGTGCCAGTTTATTAGGTACACTAAGCTAAAACTAGTCTAACTTCATGAGGTTATATTATTCAGTTTCATTTTCATAGAGAGGTGTTGATTCAGCAGTGTTATCATTTTTGAGGATGTAGTTAGTGTTACTGAGTAGATTCTATTATGTACGCTACCCTCATTGATGTAAAAGGGACGGGCAAAGTCATAGAAACACCCAGCACAATATAATTCAACAGCACCACAAACTGCTCCTCCAAAATGATCATTAAGTTATTTTAACATGGATGAGGTGCACAAATGCACAAATGGACACTGATTTTTTTATGATCTCATACACTGTATGAATGCCTGGCTGTATGACCTAATGCAGCTTTAGTTATACATTTAGCTCACTTCAGATTTTTTGATCTAAGGTGTAAATGTGGAATTATTATGTAGTCTACTTCAGTGTCAAAGTACTCTCTTTGACAATGGCCTATTTCAGAGTGTTAAATTATTGATGCAAAATGAGCATCAGTAGCTGGTTCATCTTGATTTCCAGCAGTTCTCAAAGGGCTCATGATCACACTGCAAACTGTGTAAAATCTGTATTAGTATAATCTGTCAGGGTGCGGTCAGCTCCGTGCTTCCTCTCTTTTTCATGGTTAGTGTATAAATATTCGGAGAGTTGCTCATCATCTGTTAAAAATGGTTGTATTAGTGGTGTAATGTTAATATTTCCAAACATGTGGGTTGCTTTGCTTCTCAGAACTAAAAGTTTCACCACATACAACCTGCCTTTTTTTAAAATTTCATAGGAGGAGTGTAGATGTGCTGCTGTCATGAGACTTTATCAGCGTGATCCATCAACAAAACTGTATGTGACTTGCTGAGCTGCCTGACCAGTTTATAATGATGACAGATTCGGAGTGGATGTTTATCAGTAAGAATTAGCTTTGAATAGAAAGCACATAGATCATTTAATTTCCCATGACAAATACACTCAGTTAGCACTTTATTAGGTAGGCCTACATCTAATAAGTAATGTCGTCTAAAACAACAGCCCTTCAATAAATCCCTCCTTTCATCAGGGCTGTAAGTGGGTGGACAAAATAACAGGAACACCTCCCAGTGTATTTCAATACAGTTCAACAGATGAATGAACTGTAAAACATGGTATATTTTGTCGGCTACATCTGTTTTTATTTAGGACACCTTAGTGGACCTTTGTGTCCTCAATAGAATCATTGTCATTATTATTATTGTTATTTTTTAAACTGTGTTTATTGGGTTTTTTGAAAGACCATAGTTAAAGAAAGGAGCATATTGTACAGATGCACATACATGTATAGTCTGTCAGTTATAGTCGTTGTACAATAAAAATTTGAAAAGGTGAAGAGTCAACAATTTAACTGAAATACCTCAACAACAGGAGAAAAAAACAAACAAAACCACACACACACACACACACACACACACACACAAAAACCCCAAAACATCAGTCAGTGGAAAAAAAGTACATGTCAGGACCCGCAGTACCAAACCCACCTGACACTGGTTACACAACCCTCACTGTCAAATATGTAGGTCACTCTGAGAGAACTTAATCCTTTTAACATATTGAAAAGGGGGACCCCAAGTATTGTTAAATTTATTGTATAAACCAAAAGCTGAGTGCCACATCTTTTCCAGTCTGATAAAATATAGGATGTCCCTTATCCAGCGAGTATGAGAGAGAGGTGTAGATGATTTCCAGGTGATCAGTATTAGCTGTCTGTCCAATAGAGTTGTAAAGGCTATAACATCCTTTTGGGGCTTGTGAAGGAAAGATGGTGTTATTATTATTAATATTATTAGTATAATTAATAACAATAATAACAATAATAATAATAAAAATAACAATAATAATAATATGGTACCTCTGGGTTATTTGTAGTCTGTATTTATAGATTGGCTAATTAAAATAATAGTATATAGGCTTTTCTGTGTGGACTTTTCAAACTTTAATAATATTTTTAATTGTAATCAAGTAGCTGTCAATTTGTAGAAATCAATTGACTATAGAGATAATAGTTTATTTTTATTTTATTTTATATCACGGATATTATTAATAAATAATAATAATAATAAATCAGTTTCAGTAATGCATTTGAAGGAATTATTGCAGGACTGTTGTATTTTTATTTTTTTATTTTTTGAATATGTGAACCTCATATTCTGGCAGGTAAAGAAACATAACATTACTTTTTTAAAAAAAAAAATTCTGTAATGGGTATCTATTCGAGTTTATGTTGAGTTTGAGGCACTATAATTTCTCATATGGTACCTCTGGGTTATTTGTAGTCTGTATTTACAGATTGGCTAATTAAAAAATTAGTATACTGTATAGGCTTTTTTGTGTGGACTTTTCAAACTTTAATAATATTCTTAATTGTAATCAAGTAGCTGTGAATTTGAAGAAATCACTTAACTATAGAGATAACAGTTTATTTTTATTGTATTTTATTTTATATCACGGATATTATAAAGCACATGAACTCTGTACCTGCCAAAATGGCGGACCCGGCCACGCCTTTACATTACCTGGAGCGTGAACACTCCCTTGGCCGCTGACACAGTCACACTTACAGGAAGTGTTGGAGTCATGTCTCATCAACTCCAAGCTGAGCTTCACGCAAACCAGAGGAAAATGTGGCGCATGAAGGTTACAGCTGTGGACGAGAAGAAATGAAATATACGCAGATCTGCACTGATTTCCCTCCGGATCAAATAAGAGTATCGTTACACTGTGGGACAGCATGTCAAGAGTCACGCGTCTGATTTTCCTTCTTACGCTCATGGCCTTCACTGTATCAGGTACGTTTTAACTTAATCATTAACCAGCAGAGTCGACTGACTCTGAAATGCTGATGAGGTCTGCTGTTTAAATATGGACACTGATTATTCCTCAAATTACAGGACAATGATTGCAGGAACTAACATGGAGGTCTCATCAGACATCATTAGGCTGTGAAATATTTCTAAGCTGTTGTTACTGTGCTGATTACTGCTAAATATGGCTGTTGATGAATTGCAGGGATCTGGATGGCTGTAATGAGCACATTGATTAGTTATGGCAGAGTAAATGATGTTCAAGCTCAGGATCAGGACAAAACTGAAACAAGGGCCCTGTGGTGTCAGTGTGGAGCTTTTGTTGTTGACTGGCCTGAGCGGTTTTCTGTTGTTTGCTCAACTCAAACCTCATCACCCAAAAGGCTGGCAGAGCTAATGTGATGTGTCATGTGTCAGATGATAGGTTAGGTGTCTGTTTTGTCCACTTTGGATATACGGATATATATAGAAAAAGAAATAATACAGTGTAAACCAGGATATGTGAGACAATAGAGTTGACTCCAGCAGCTCATCAGGTGCTGCTGTGTGTGTGTGTGTGTGTGTGTGTGTGTGTGTGTGTGTGTGTGTGTGTGTGTGTGTGTGTGTGTGAGAACATGGCTCTGTTTGCTCAGTACAGGCTTGGTTAGTCATAGAGGGAGTGAAGCCAAGCTGTCTGCCTGAACACATTAGTCACTCTGACTTTGTTAACAGTGAATAAAAGCATGTATTTAATATTCAACTTCTTCATACTCTGATTTTCAAGTGGTGATTTCATGGTGTTATTCAGCACTGGACATCTGGTGTTTTTTCTTACCAATGTTTCTCTCTTTTCTCTTAATCACTTTCCATTTCAGGGGTCCAAAAGCTGAACGTCACCCCTGAGAGAGGCACCACCTTCAACATCAGCAGTAGTCAGGTCGAAGGTTGCAAAGTGTGCACCGTAGCAGAAAGCTCACGACAATGTCACCCATCCCTTCTGCTAGAAGACAACACTCCTGTCTCACTGGAGTTTGAATGCTCCAAACCTCAAGATGTATTCAGTGTGGAAATTGTGCGAAATATAGGTAAGTATATAACCACTGAAGGGAAATCTAATCAACTTGCTGAATTATTGCACTACTGGTGGATTTATTTGTCTTTAATATCTTGCAGATTGTAACACAAAGTCGTGCAACGGCCGCATCGTCCAGGCTGACTCTGGCTCACTTCCCTTCCTGGATTTTAACCGCAAGTTCACCTGGAACCTGAAGGCCTTTGCGCAGGAAGCATTCAAAATAGACTTCGGTAACACTGGTCTAAGACAGATTAAGCCATCTGAGAGATGTCCAGACAAACACAGCTACACCCTCCAGGCCTTCCAGGCAACAGGGAACGTGACCGTAGGGAAATACTGCAGAACAGGGCCTGTCAGTAGCGCTCAGATACTGAATACAGGCAGCTTTTCTCTGGATGTCCCAGCAGGGCAGAAGCTGCAAAATGGCCAGTTTGATGTGTCTGTCGGGGAGGAGATCAAATGTGAGTTTAAAATGTCTGAATAATCTCTCATGTCTCGTATGTTAGACATCATTTTCTGACTGTTGTGTGTCTTCTTTTCACTCACAGCCCTTGCCAAAATTAAGCTGACGTTACCAAAAGGGACCTCGACGTCAGAGCTGCTTTCTCCGAACTACCCAGAAAGTTTTCCCGACGATGATGTGATGGAGTGGTACTTTCAGGTCCCGGACAAACACAGGATATCCGTTCAGTTCTCAAATCTCAAACAGACACATTGTC